CTAGTGGGAGCTCACGGACTCTGGACTGACAGCTGCGGAGCCTGCAAGGGACTGAACTGGGCCCTCTGTATGTGGGTGACAGTTGTGTGGCTTGGTCTGTTTGTGGGGCTCCTGGCAGTGGGACCAGGACTTATCCCTGGGGCATGAACTGGCTTTTTTGGAGCCCATTCCCTATGGAGGGATACCTTGCTCAGTCTTGATGCAGGAGGGAGGGGCTTGGTCCTGCCTCACTTGATATACCAGCCTGTGTGGACTTCCCAAGGGAGGCCTTACCCTCTCTGAGAAGTGGATGGGGGTGGGGAGGGAAGCGGGAGGAGGGGAGGGAACTGTGGTTGGTATGTAAAATAAAAAAAATTTAAATAAAAAAAAAGAAATGTGCAATGATACATCTCTGTGAAAATGTCATAACTGAACCGTGATTTTGTGCAGTAAAATGTTAGCAATAGTGATAGCAACAGGGCAGCTTTCAGAGCATCTGCAGAGCGAGTGACTCGGGGTGATTCTCTCTCTCTCTTTTATTTATTCTTTGTGTCTTTCACATCATGCCTCCCCATCCCACCCACCTCCCACCCCACCCCAAAATAAAATAAAATTTAGGAGAAAAAGAGGGGGGGAAGGGAAGAAAGGAAGGAAGGAAGGAAGGAAGGAAGGAAGGAAGGAAGGAAGGAAGGAAGGAAGGAAGGAAGGGAAAATCTCGTGTGACACAGTGAATCACACAGTAAACCCCTTTATCCATGCATTTTTGCATGCAGGCGTTTATTGGAAAGAATCATTGGTCTGGTTCGAGGCCCCTGGTCTCTGCTGCACTATCGGCACTGGGCCCTCAGTGGACTCTTCCTGGGCATCCCACTGGGCCCTGTGTCTTGGAGATCCTGTAGCCCTGGGTCCACAGGACTGCCCCTCTCCTACACTCCAGCAGATCTTAGATGGGACGGATGCTGGGGTGGGCCAACAGATAACCCTGGTTCTGGGTAGTTGCAGGGTTGGTCAGCTCACCAGCTCTCCCTTGCCTTGGCCACCAGGGTGCGCTGTCCAGCATTGCCCTGGCCAGTTCACCCCTTACAGTGATGAGCAAGGGGCAGAGTCAGTTCTGCTTTCACATCCTCAGGGTTGGTTCTCCCACATCTACACCTTCAGGGGCAGCTCTACTGTGTTGCCCAGGTGAAGTGTAGGGGCCACTCTCCCGAGCGCTGCAGCTGATGGGGGCCAAGGACGTCTCTCCCACCTGCCTCAGGCATTGATGGGGGGCATCTCTTCCCCACCCATGCCACAAGACTGATGAGTAATGGGAAGAGCTCTCCCATGGTCACAGTTTGGGGGCTGGCTCACCCACACCTCCACCAACAAGGTCAGCTCTACCTTGATGCCCAGGTGAAGTACAGGTCCTGCTGCCCTGAGTGTTACAGCTGGTGGGGGCGCAAGGACAGCTCTCCTGCTCTCATGACCTCAGGGCCAGCTGTCCCTTCTGCCTCAGGTGTTGACAGGCGGGATGGGGAAGGGCATCTCTCCCTCGCCCAAGCTGCCACAAGGCAGATGAGTAATGGGGACAGCTCTCCCATGTCCACAACTTGGAGACTGGCTCACCCACACCTCCACCAACAGGGTTGGCTTTATTGTGCTGCCCAGGTGAGGTGCAGGGCCTGTTCTCCCAAGTGCTGCAAATGGTGAGGGGTTGGGTCAGGCCCTCCACCTGCAGAAGGGGGTGAGGAGTGGGGGGAGGAGGGAATCTTTCCCTCATCTATGCCACTCCATGGCATATGAGAGGGGTTATAACCTGCTCTCCCATTCTCATGCCCTCAGGGCCAATTTGCCCATGCTCGTGTGAACAGGGTCAGCTCAATTGTGCAGCCCAGGGGAGGCATAGGATCCTCTCCCCGGAGTGCTTCAGCTGGTGAGGAGCAGGACCAGTTCTAGCATTTAGTCAGTGCGGGGCGGGGCCAACTCTGTGCAGCCCTATCCTCTCTGCCCTTGGTGGTATCAGCAGTGTGGACATCAACAGAGATAGCAGCTGCATCAGAGCCTTAACCCAGCCATGGGCCCCAGCAGGAGCCCAGGCCCAGATGTCACCATAGCCCTGGGTGGCAGTGAAGCCACCCACCTCAGCCTGCTCCTAACATCTTTTACCTCTTCAGAAATCCCTCTGTCCACAGGACATGAACCATTTTGTCTCTCTCTCTCTCCCTTATCATTTCATATACTTGCCCACCATAGTAGTGCCTGTCTGCCTGTCACCACAAGGTGCCACCAAGTGGGCCAGTGTTTCCTTCTTGGAGCCTGGGACAAACCTCCCCAGGCCTGAATGAGGGTTTCCTTGTCCCACTTAGACTGTCATGGCCTTGGGCTGGACCACACTTCCTCATCACAAAGAGATCATAATAGTGTCCAGTGGTGCCAGGCAGGCTCTTGGTTGGTGTGAGGTGTTGCTGAGACCTCTGAGCCTGGGCTAGAAAGCCCGGGACCCGTTGAGTTCCGTCACCCCACCACAAGTTATGGGGCAGGGGCAGGATGATTCTCTTTAGAGATCATTCTGGCTACAGGAGGGAGTATAGGGACAAGAGAGGGCTGTGGGGGACCAGGAGGAGGTTGTCATCATTGTCCACTGGTGGGGTGAGAGGTGGTAGTGGACTATGTAGAGTTTGAAGGTATTTTGGAGTAGTTTTGTTGGAGTTGGGAGGTGAGTGAAAGGGAGTGTCAGGTTTGTGGATGGAGAGTGGCGTCATCTGGTGCAGTCGGAGAACATGGGTGCAAGGTAGAGGAAGGGAATGTTGAATGGGTGTCGAGATGTCCAGCTGTGGTGCTCGGCAGCCAGAAGTGAAGGATGAATGTGACATCTAGAGGACTTTGCACACCTGGTTCTTAAGGCCATCTGGAAGGGAGTGTAAGGAAGAAGGAGAGGAGACCCAGGGCTAACCAGGACAAACTCCAGGACAAACTGGAGAAGAAAGCTAAGGGAAGCCAGCAGGTAGGCGTGGCCACCTCTTCCAGACTAGTTTGTCCATCTGTGTGGTAACTCCACAATAGCCCTACAGAGGGAGCCAGTGAGCAAGAGGCGATGTTGGCGTCTCTGGCTGTAAAAGGCAATTTTCACTCTTCCAAGTTTCCTATATGGTGTCTCAGGAACATGAGGAACATGCCATGTGTCCCTGCTCTGCCACAGCTCTACCCAGACCTCCCTAAACTCATGGCTTCATCATCAGTCCCTGAGAGCAGCACAGCGCTAGACTTCAGGGGATGGCTAGCTGATGAATCTGTATGCTGGATTCACAGAGCAGTACCAAACAACAAACCATGTCCTTCCTCCCTCTGGGGATGGAGCCCAGGACCTCACAAGTGCTAAGCATGCTCTCTGCCTCCGAGCCACCTCTTCAGTCCCACGTGCCTCTGTGGCTCGGGCCTTTCTTTCCTTCTCTGCACATACATGTTAATGAAGGTTTCCTCCTACCCACAAATACCTTTGGTCTCCTTCACTGCTTCTGGAATACCCTCAACTATCACCTCTTCTGGTACTCCTCTGGTCCACTAAAACAGAATCCACAAGACATCTGCCTTTGTGTCCGTGACTTCTCTCTGTCTCTGGTGGATCATGGATAGTTTCTTCAGCTCTGTCTTCCAGTTCACATAGCTGTCGTCTGTTGGGTCTAATATGCAGAATATGAAGAGGGAAGGCTGACTCCCCAGGATGATAACAACACCAGGCATAGGCAGGAGCAGACAGGGAGATAGAAGCTAATCCCGCACGTGAACCTGATTTGAAGGTCCTAACCAACCAAGTCTAACACTGCAAAAATTGAGTGACAGATCAGAGCCAAGCAGGGTTTGTTCTAGGGATGCAGGATGTTCAACATGCCTATGACCCCAGCACTCAGGGGAGTTCAAGGCCAGCATGGGCTACAGAGTAAACCATTTCTGGATTAAAAAAAAAAAAAAAAGGAAAGGAAAGGATGGAGAAAGGAAATGAAATAAAAAAGGGACAAATTTGTTATGATATTAACTAGATGAACATGAGAAGGGCAGCTGAGCCCTTTAGCAGATTGGGGGGGAAATAATTTGATAAAATTAAAATAAAAAATCCAAGGCCACCAAGATGGCTCAGGGATTAAAGGCATTTGCCACCAAGTCTGACCTGAGACTGATATCCAGAACTCACACAGTGGAAAGTCCCCAACAAAGTTGTCTTCTGACCTCCACA